TCTCTGAAAAGAAGACAAAGGAGATGAGGAATATTTTGGAAACTCTGATGTCGGGGAAGGGAGACATGGAAAAATGTCTCCAAACAGCCAGAAACCACATGGAGAATGTGCAGAGGAATGCAGACTCTATTACCAAGAAGGTCCATGGATTGCTCAAGGATATCCGAGAACAACTGCACAGTCTGGAGAAGAGAATTTTAAGAGAACTCAACAGGCAGACTGTACAGATTAGACGGCAAGTATCTGATCAGATCAAACAGATGGAAGTAAAATCAGATAACTTGACTCAGAGTATTAACCATATTCAGGGTCTCTGCAACAGCGAAGACCCCTTTTCCATCCTACGAAGACAAAAATCGGCAAGGGATGTTATTGAAAATGTTCCTGGAGTGGACAAAACCAGCCAACTCATCGGTGACCTGAACGAAGGTTTGGTCTCCACTATCTTGCACACTGGCCTGCTGGATATTACAACTGCTGTAAAGAAAAAGATCCACGTATGTGATGTGCCACCACTACTAATGGACCCCAGAACAGCTCACAACAAGATGGAATTATCCGTGGACTTGAAATCCGTGACTGACTCTGATACAAACCATGGCCGGCTGGGGTCGCCCCTGAGATTTATGGTTTACAACCAGGTGCTGAGTGTAAATAGCTTTACAGAAGGACAGCACTACTGGGAAGTGGAGACTAGCGTTACCGGTATATGGGATATAGGCTTGGCCTATCCTAGCATTGAGCGAGATGGGAAACAGTCTGGTATTGGCGATAACAACAAGTCATGGTGCCTGCGCAAATACACCAAAAAATACATGGCAGCTCACAACTCAAAGGCCCAGTCGCTGCTTCATGAACAATGCACTCAAGTTATTGGAATGTATCTGGATTACGAGGCTGGTAGGCTTTCCTTTTATGAGCTCTTCCACCCAACCAAAGGCTTATACAGACATATACACACCTTTATTGCCACGTTCACTGAACCGCTGCACATCGCAGTGTATGTAGATGATGGGGGCTGGGTCACATTCAAGTAAAATTGATTTGCCTTCAGCACTGTCTCATTTTGGGGGTACAACCTTAAAGCAGACCTGTGCTTTGTCCACACAGGTTCTCTTTTTAATGCCCCCTTACTGAGCAGTATGCATCATCTCTCCTTATCTCCCCCACCATTCTCTTTAGCCACTGGTAGCAAAGGAAAAGACCTATGAGCTTCATGGCCATATTCCCATGTGACAGCAATGGCCATTTACCAAGCACCAGTGCCATCACATGGCAGGAAGTAGTGACATGCATGCCCCCCCCCATACCTGGAAGTACTGAGTATTTTCTTTACTGCTAGCAGCTGAATAGAGTGAAGGGAAGGTGAGTATATACTATGCTGAGGAGGCTTTAAATGGATTTCATTTCTTGGGTGGAATAAACGGATAGTCTACCACTAGAGTTTCTGACTCCACCCATGCCTTTTGTGTTGCGTTGTCACCGACCCCACACTGGATTCTCCATATGTTCCTGATATCAGTGGAGGAACCTCCCAGACAGGTTGAGAGTTTTAAAATTTTGGCAAATGATTTGAACCCTTTTGAGCCAGCCTTAAATTATGTGTTCGGTCTTAGGTGGGGTTAACCTTTTAAGAGATGGATTGTAGGAAATTAAGTAACATGCATGTCAGTGTCTTACTTGCTAACCAAGGTCCACCATGAAAATGTATTAACTCAGACATTCTCTCTGCATTGATTGCATCATGCTGCCAAAACAAACCCAGAATGTCTTTTTAATTCTTTGTGTTTTACTGTGAAATCTGGAATGCTGGAATTTTAATGAATAAAATGTGAATGTATACACCTAACATCTGATTCTTTTTAATCTCTGGGACGGGAAAAAAAATTCCATTCTGCTCCTCCAATTTTAATTTTTGTAATGTCGCTCCCCTATAAATGATCCTCGATTTATCTTACCCCATTACCTATTGGCAAATGGAACAAGCGCTCAGAAATATATATATATATATATATATATATATATATATATATATATTTATTTATTTATTTTTTTAAACCAAATTCTACATGTGTATGATTAGCTTAAGGGATACCTTCATTTGTTTTTGTTTTTGTTTTTTTTTAACCACTTCCCAACCGGGCCAATTCTGCAATTCTGACACCTCTCAAATACATGTAGAAATCTACAATAATTATATACACTATACTGCCAAAAGTATTAGGACACCCCTCCAAATCATTGGGTTCAGGTGTTCCAATCACTTCCATGGACACAGGTGTATACAATCAAGCCCCTAGGCATGCAGACTGCTTCTACAAACATTGGTGAAAGAATGAGTCGCTCTCAGGAGCTCAGTGACTCCAAGCGTGGTCCCGTGATAGGTTGTCACCTGGGCAATAAGTCCATCCGTGACATTTCCTGGCTACTAAATATTCCACGCTCAACTGTTAGTGGGATTATAACAAAGTGGAAGCAACTGGGAACAATGGCAACCCAGCCACCAAGTGGTAGGCCACGTCACATGACAGAGAGGGGTCAGTGCATGTTGAAGTGCGCAGAAGTCGCCAACTGTCTGAAGAGTCAATAGCTGAAGACCTCCAAACTTGGTGTGGCCTTCAGATGAGCCCAACAACAGTGCATAGAGAGCTTCATGGAATGGGTTTCCATGGCCGAGCAGCTGCATCCAAGCCTTTCATCACCAGGTGCAAAGCATCCGATACCGTGGTGTAAAGCATGCCGCCACTGGACTTTAGAGCAATGGAGAAGTGTTCTCTGGAGTGACCAATTATGCTTCTGTCTGGCAATCCGATCGACGTGTCTGGGATTGGTGGTTACCAGGAGAACGGTACTTGCCTGACTGCATTGTGCCAAGTGTAAAGTTTGGTGGAGGAGGGATTATGGTGTGGGGTTGTTTTTCAGGGGTTGGGCTTGGCCCCCTAGTTCCAGTGAAGGGAACTCTTAAGTCGTCTGCATACCAAGACATTTTGGACAATTTCATGCTCCCAACTTTGTGGGAAGAGTTTGGGGATGGCCCCTTCCTGTTCCAACGTGACTGCCCACCAGTGCACAAAGCAAGGTCTATAAAGACATGGAGGAGCCAGTGTGGGGTGGAGGAACTTGACTGGCCTGCACAGAGTCCTGACCTCAACCCCATAGAACACCTTTGGGATGAATTAGAGCGGAGACTGTGAGCCAGGCCTCCTCCCCCGACATCAGTGCCCGACCTGACAAATGTGCTTCTGGAAGAATGGTCCAACCTTCCCATAGACACCCTCCTAAACCTTGTGGACGGCCTTTCCAGAAGAGTTAAAGCTGTTATAGCCGCAAAGGGCGGGGCCAACTCAATATACGGACTAAGACTGGGGGGCCATTAAAGTTCATGTGCGTGTAAAGGAAGGCCGACCAATACTTTTGCCAATATAGTGTATATGTAGCCCCTCCTCATCACACATACACACGGTTCAAAAAAAATTAAAGGAACACTTTGAAAACCCATCAGATCTCTATGGGGAGAAATCTGCTGCTGGATCTCTATACTGATATGGATGGGGTAATGTGTTAGGAACGTAAGGATGTCCCATCGTTTGATGGAAATGATCGACCTACAGAGGACTGAATTCAACAACGCCCCAAAAATCAAAGTGAAGAAATGATGCAACAGGCGAGTCCATGTTGGTGAAATGTCATTGCAGCAACTCAGAATGGTCCTCAGTAGTTTGTATGGCCCCCACGTGGTTGTATGAATGCCTGACAACGTCAGGGGAGGCTCCTAATGAGATTACGGATGGTGTCCTGGGGGATTTCCTCCCATATCTGGACCAGGGCATCACTGAGCTGCTGGACAGTCTGAGGTGTAACTTGGTAGCGTTGGATGGACCGAAACATGACATCCCAGAGGTGTTCTATCATTGGTGTCAGTGGGATACAGTGATCCCTATCGTTGGTGTCAGTGGGATACAATAGTGCTTATCGTTAGTGTCAGCGGGATACAATAGTCCCTATCGTTGGTGTCAGTGGGATACAATAGTCCCTATCGTTGGTGTCAGTGGGATACAATAGTCCCTAGCGTTGGTGTCAGCGGGATACAATAGTCCCTATTTTTGGTGTCAGTGGGATACAGTGATCCTTATCGTTGGTGTCAGCGGGATACAATAGTCCCTATCGTTGGTGTCAGCGGGATACAATAGTTCCTATCGTTGGTGTTGGCGGGATACAATAGTCCCTATCGTTGGTGTTAGCGGGATACAATAGTCCCTATCGTTGGTGTTAGCGGGATACAATAGTCCCTATCGTTGGTGTTAGAGGGATACAATAGCCCCTATCGTTGGTGTTAGCGGGATACAATAGTCCCTATCGTTGGTGTTAGCGGGATACAATAGTCCCTATCGTTGGTGTTAGCGGGATACAATAGTCCCTATCGTTGGTGTTAGAGGGATACAATAGCCCCTATCTTTGGTGTCAGTGGGATACAATAGTCCCTAGCGTTGGTGTCAGCGGGATACAATAGTCCCTATCGTTGGTGTCAGCGGGATACAATAGTCCCTATCGTTGGTGTCAGCGGGATACAATAGCCCCTATCGTTGGTGTCAGTGGGATACAATAGTCCCTATGGTTGGTGTCAGTGCGATACAATAGTCCCTATGGCCCACCTTCAGACCTGTGAATGGACCTGGCAGCGACTCCATACGAGATCCCCAGTGGCGCTCCCATGTCGTGGCTCATGGAGGGGTCAGCGATGGCCCTGGACGCAGGCGGGTGTGAATCGGGGCGTACAGTAGAAAGGTTTTAGAGGATGTATGGCCACATTGTGTATGAGATCTGTGAGGGGGGAGGGAATTCTTAGGCCTGGAGTCCTACAGAAATGTCCCTGGAAAGGACAAGGCAGCCCAGAGCTGGATGAACAGGCTCTCCGGTTGCCTAGCAACCAGCAGAATGGCTGTGTGCCCCGCCTCCATTGTTTGTACCCGTTGCTAGGAGACGAGGACGCTGAGCCTGGGAAGCGGAAGCAGCAGATCTGTGTGCAGGAGCCGTCCAGGTATGGGGGTGGGGGGTACAGGGGACCCTCAGGGCTCCCCAATATGGATCCGCAAAGGGTTATGGGGAGGGTGCAGGGACTGCATGGGACTGTCTATGACAAGTGGGGGGGAGGGGACAGCTTTCATCTCACTTCGATCAAGGTTAAGCTCATTAAAATTTTACTTTGCCAAGATCACCCAATCATGTGCAAGGAAAATGTAAGAAAAAAAAAAACGTAAAAAAAAAAAAAAGTTTTTTTTTCGTGCTTGTATGTGATTGGCTGATTGAAATTCGCGCAGCGTCCTATCATTCGCTAAGTTCAGTAAAAATTTTTTTTTTTTTTTTTTACTTTTCAAGGTGAATTTTATCTTAGCTCAGTGAATGCGCAGACGCTGCGCGGATTTCAATTGATTTCAGTCACCCAATCACCTGCAAGCTACAAAAAAAAAATGTTTTGATCTTTTCCATAAGCAATTTTTTTTTCCTTTGGTATGTTTTTAATATTTTCCTTCAGAGTTTTTCTACAGTAAACCAACCTCAATGAGGTTCACACCACTGCGACTTCAGGAGCGACATGCGATTTAAAAATCGCATCTGAAGTGGCATCTAATGTAGTTCTATGGCGCTGTCTTAATAGGTGCGATTTCAAGCAGTGAGACTTGAAAAATAGTTCCTGCATTACTTCTTTCACCACTTCAGTGCGATTTAACGCTCAGACTATAGCCCCCGGCCACACTGGGTGTGACTTGGCATCATGCAATTTGCATTGCATGCGACTTGCAAATCACATGCCAAATCGCAACCTTCTGTCCGCAATTAGAGCGGTCATATCAGTGTGGTTCTGACTTGGTCAGAGTCGCACCGATGTCTAAAGTCGTGCATGCACGACTTTTGGTGCGATTTGCATAGATATCTGTATCAGATGTCTTGCAAATCGCACCTCAATTTGCAATGACATCCCAACTTTGAAATCGTGCAACTTACAGTGAAGTCATACGATCATACTGACCGGGGGTAAGTCCCTTGTTTACATCGGTGCGACCTGTCATGCGATCTGACAGTTTCAAATTGCGTGACAAGTCGCACCCTATTCGCAATGGAACCGTTACACTCGGTGCGACTCAATCTCCATCAGAGTCGCACCGATTTTGAAAGTAGTTCCTGCACTACTTTTTGCAATTTCAGGTGCGACTTGCGTAGACATCTGCGCATGATGTCGCACAGATGTCTGCCAAGTCTCACCTAACGTTGCACTGACATGCGACTGAAATCGTGCGACTTCAAGCGTAGTCACACAATTTTAAAGTTAGATCCAATGAGAACTACGGTTAAGGTAAATGGCACTGAAATCGCACCTGTTTCTATATCAGTGCTACTTTGATATTGCGCTTTAAATTGGACCAAATTGCACCACTTTGAAATCACATTCGGTGTGAACCAAAGCTTACTAATAAAAACTAGGACCCTGATAGACTATAAGCCCTGGATTACACTGGTGCGACTTGTCTTGCGATTTGAGTTTCAAATCGCATGACAAGTCGCACCCTATTGTCCGCAACTCAGTGCAACTCCAACTCAATTGGAGTCACACCAATTTTGAAAGTAGTTTCTGCACTGCTTTTTGCGATTTCAGGTACAACTTGCATAGACATCTGCGCATGATGTCACACAGATGTCTGCCAAGTCGCACCTGAAGTTGCACTGACATGCGACTTCAAGTGAAGTCGCACTATTTCAAAGTCAAATCCAATGAGAACTACGGCTAAGGTAAATGGCACTGAAATCGCACCTATTTCTCTATCAGCACTACTTTGATGTTGCGCTTTAAATTGGACCAAATCGCAGCACTTTGCAATCACATTTGGTTTGAACCAAAGCTTACTAATAAAAACTAGGACCCTCATAGACTATAAACCCTGGATTACACCAGTGCGACTTGTCATGCGATTTGACAGTTTCAAATTGCATGAAAAGTCGCACCCTATTGTCCGCAGTGGAACTGTTCAAATTAGTGTGATTCCGACTCCATCAGAGTTGCGCCGATTTTGAAAGTAGTTCCTGCACTACTTTTGGCAATTTCAGGTGAAACTTGCATAGACATCTGCGCATGATGTCGCACAGACGTCTGCCAAGTCTCGCCTGAAGTTGCACTGACATGCGACTTTGAAATCATGCGAATTCACTTGATTTCAAAGTCGGATCCAATGTGAACTAGGGCTAAGGTAAATGGCACCGAAATCACGCCTGTGTCTATATCAGCGCTACTTTGATGTTGTGCTTTAAATGGGACCAAATCGCACCACTTTGAAACCACATTTGGTGTAGACCAGGGCTTAATAATGAAAGCTGGGACCCCAGGGGTCTTTTGAAAAGTTCACTCTATATATATATATTATTTTATTTTTTATTTTATTTTTTTCGCTGTTCCAAATTTGTAGCGTGTGTTGTATATGTGTTTGTGTGTGTTTTTTAAATTTTGTATAGAGTAAGGGAGGGTATAATCCCTGTTAGATTTTCTCTCCATTGAAGAGATTTCCCTTCACTTCCTGTCCCGTAGCCAAACAGGAAGTGAGAGGAAATCCCCCTAGAGTGAGGGAATCCCAGGGTGTCACCAGAACTAGTGTCATCCCAAAATTTAGGACTTTCTTTTATATTCACTTTTATTGGTAATGGTAAACAGGACAAATAGAGAGGAGAGGATGATCCTCCCTAACAGGGGCACAGACAGCAGTAAAAACCTGACAGGGGATCTAATCCTTCCCCACTATCCAAAACAAAAAAAAAAGTTTTGCCTTTAGTTATCCTTTAACCACTTGGAAACCGTGCTACAGCCGAACGACGGCTACAACGCGGTTGTCCGGTTCTAGGAGGGCGTCATATGACATCCTCCCAGAATGCACTCTCCCGCGTGTCCCCTACGGACACAGCTGATCATGTGATGTGGTAAAAGGCCAATCACGGCAGCCTATTACCATGTGATTAGCCATGTCCAATGACACAGCAGATCACCGGGTAAATACAGTTGCCGGTTATCGGCTGCACTTTCCTCACGCTGTCACAGGGTGAGGAAAGTACTGCGGATAACTGGCAATAGTCAGATGAGGGATCGGCACTGATCATCTAACCCTAACTCCGAACTTAACTCTAACCCTATATCTAACACTAACTCTATCTCTAACCCTAACATTAGCTCAAACTCTAACCCTAACTCTAACCCTGACTCTAACCCGAACACTAGCCCAAACTCTAACCCAGACTCTAGCACTATCCGAAATTCTAACCCAGACTCTAACCCTAACACTAGCCCAAACTCTAACCCTAACACTAGTCAAAATTCTAACCCTGACTCTAACCCTAACACTAGCCAAAACTCTAACCCTAACACTAGCCCAAACTCTAATCCTGACTCTAACCCTAACACTAGCCCAAACTCTAACCTAGACTCTAACCCTGACTCTAACCCTAACACTAGCCAAAACTCTAACCCTAACACTAGCCCAAACTCTAATCCTGACTCTAACCCTAACACTAGCCCAAACTCTAACCTAGCCTCTAACCCTAACACTAGCCCAAACTCTAACCTAGACTCTAACCCTAACACTAGCCCAAACTCTAACCTAGACTCTAACCCTCACAATAGCCCAAACTCTAACCCTGACTCTAACCCAGACTCTAACCCTGACTCTAACTCTAACACTAGCCCAAACTCTAACCCTGACTCTAACCCTAACACTAACCCAAACTCTTACCTAGACTCTAACCCTGACTCTAACCCTAACACTAGCCCAAACTCTAACCCTGACTCTAACCCTAACACTAGCCCAAACTCTAACCTAGACTCTAATCCTAACACTAGCCCAAACTCTAACCCTGACTTTAACCCTGACTCCAGCCCTAACACTAGCCTAAACTCTAACCCTGACTCCAGCCCTAACACTAGCCTAAACTCTAACCCTGACTCCAGCCCTAACACTAGCCTAAACTCTAACCCTGACTCCAGCCCTAACACTAGCCTAAACTCTAACCCTGACTCCAGCCCTAACACTAGCCTAAACTCTAACCCTGACTTTAGCCCAAACTTTAACCCAGACTCTAACCCTGACACTAGCCCAAACTCTAACCCTGACTCTAACCCTAACACCTTAATCCTAACTCTAACCCTAAATCTAACACTACCTTTAACCCTAGCCATTAGCGCTAACCCAATCCTTAACCATGTGATTTGGTCACATAAGGGTTCCTGCACTACTTTGATGTAACTTTGATGCTAATTGCTAATAAAAAATGCAAAACGAAAAAACGCACCAGAAAAACGCATCACCTGCAACCTGCATATATGTGAACCTAACCTAAAGGAAACCTGTGCAGAGTTCAATACCTGGACTATCTGCTAATGCTTTCCTCCACCAGAAAATGCTAGCTGCCTGGTTGTTTCTGGATTTGCTAGTCCACTGACCCTGAAGACCCCACAGCTGGATGCGGTACATTTTTTTTTTCACTTCAAGAATTGATGATTACATGAAGAAGAGTGACGTGTCGGGGCGTGCCCTGGATTCTGTTTTCTTGCATTGCTGACCCTGAATAAGCATGCAGCAAGTGAAGTTAGAACTCCTGATCTGTGTACTGGTTCTGGGCCAGTGACTGATGAAGTATTGAAGTCATTGGATCAGCACGGCAGCTGATAAAACAGCATTTTCAAAAAGAGAGTCTATGGATTTCTCTTGGGACAAGTTTATTCAAAGCCACGAGGCCAGAGCAACGATGAGCGGAGTTTCAGTATGCGCCCAGCAAAAGCAGTGATGAAATGTAGTACTGGGCGGGGAGGGGGCAAATAAATGAGTCAATTTACCCACATTGTAACTGTGAAGTGCAAAATTACCTGTTGATCCTGCCAGAAATCCTGTGAGCTGATAACTTCCTGTGCTCTCTGCTTATGCTGACTGTTATCAGTTACATCATTCCCTGCTATCTCTGAGGACTACAAGCCCCCCCCCCCCTAATGTATGTAGAGGAGGAGAAGGTGGGCAGTTTCTGTAGTCTGTCCTGTTTCTGTTGCCCTAATACAGTGCAGTGAGTGAGTGTTGTCCATGCCTCCCCCCTCGCCCCAAAACAGGACTGAAAAAGCCTGGAAAAAGAAAATGAATGCAGCCACCACATCTCAGGTCTGGTAAGCTGCAATGTCTATATATTTTTTTTTTTTTTGCCTCCTTTCATACTAGCAGCAGGCTTTGCCACTTTCCATCTTGATAAGTGGTGGATCACTTTTCAGAGGGCAGTGAAAGGAAGATTGCAGGCATTCATGGAATGTAAATGGGGGGGGCTGGCCTATAGAGCCTCTGAGTCCTGACCACAATATGACCCCTTCTCTGGCTATTACATCCAAGCAGCTACTCAGCCTCTGTCTAATCATTGGAGTCTAGCTCCCCCTAGCTACCTAGGAGGGCGCTACAGATAGATAGACAGACATCATTAGATAGGCTGACTGATCGACCGAGGGACCGATCATCAGCTAAACTGACTGATGGATAGATAGATAGATAGATAGATAGATAGATAGATAGATAGATAGATAGATAGATAGATAGATAGATAGATGAAATGATAGAGAGATAGACAGACACACAGACTAATCAACAGACAGACTGATGAATAGATAGACAGACACACAGACAGATCATTAGATAGACTGACTGATCAATAGATAGATAGACAGACAGACAGACAGACAGACAGCTCAATAGAGAGACAGACCAATCAATAGATAGACAGACAGACAGACAGACAGACATACCAATCATCAGCTAAACTGACTGATGAATAGATAGACAGACCAATAGACAGACAGATCATTAGATAGACTGACTGATCAATAGATAGATAGACAGACAGACAGACAGCTCAATAGAGAGACAGACCAGTCAATAGATAGACAGACAGACAGACATACCAATCATCAGCTAAACTAACTGATGAATAGATAGACAGACCAATAGACAGACAGACAGACAGATCATTAGATAGACTGACTGATCGATAGATAGATAGATAGATAGATAGATAGATAGATAGATAGATAGACAGACAGACAGACAGCTCAATAGAGAGACAGACCAATCAATAGATAGACAGACAGACAGACAGACAGACATACCAATCATTAGCTAAACTGACTGATGAATAGATAGACAGACCAATAGACAGACAGACAGACAGATAATTAGATAGACTGACTGATCAATAGATAGATGGACAGACAGACCGACCGATCATTAGATAGACTGACTGATCAATAGATAGATGGACAGACAGACCGATCATTAGATAGACTGACTGATCAATAGATAGACAGACAGGCAGACAGACCAATGAATAGAGAGACAGACCGATCAATAGATAGATAGACAGACACACAGACTAATCAACAGACAGATACTGGGGATTGTTATCAGGGATCCCAGTATTTCGGTCACTGGTGGGTGTTCTGGGTGTATGGATGGATCTGTGATGGAATACATGGACACACATTGTGCTACCTTCTAGTTACACTACATCACTAATTTAGCTCAATGGCTCCACCTACTGGTCTGTATAAAGCAGCAATATCAGTAATGACTCACAATGTAGCAATACACAGGAGTATGACAAATGGTAAACTCTAAGGGTAAGGCCACTGTCACATTTGAACATAGCAGGAACATTTGCATCCCAAACAAGCTTCAGTTTGCAGGGATGTGATGGTGCCATTTCTTCCTATAGGCATCCCAATGCACCTCACTAACGTGCATTTTGGTGCAGGGCAGTTTTAAAAAAAGGGGTCATGCACTTCTTTTGCACAATTTTCACGTGTAGGACAGCCCATTGAATGGAATGGACTATCCTGAATGCGACAAGTGAAACCACGCAAAAGCGCGCACTCACCGTCACATCTGTTGTTGAGATTTATTTAGTGTTTACACTGCATTCTATTACCAAAATAAACGTAATGATAGAATTGGCATTTAGGGGCTCATTCCCATGGACGCTCAGCCCCATAGAGCACAAGGAGCCACCTGTTTACTTGTCTTAGCACTGCGCTGTATGCAGGCAGCTCATATATGTGAATGGAGACGCATTGGCTGTACAGACCAGCACATCTGAACTTAACAGGTTCTGGATGGACGGGCTCTGGGACCATACACCTGTTCCTGTGATTGCCAATAGGCCAAGCCACATTTAAGCAATCTGCTGTGGTGCAGTATGGGTTAACTACTTAACATCCGCCCTATAGCAGCTTTACTGCTACAGTGTGGCATTCCTGTGCAAAATCACATATGTGTGTGTGTATATATGATTTTGCACATCTGCCACATGGGGACACATTTGCGCACCTGGGGGATTGCCTCTGCTGTGAAATGTCACAGTACAAACCAATTTTTTAAGTCTTTTTTTTGTTGTTAGTGCAAAAAATAAAAACCACAGAGGTGATCAAATACCACAGAAAGAAAGCTATATTTGTGAGAAAAAAAGGACGTAAATTTCATTTGGGTGCAATGTTGCATGGCCGTGCAATTGTCAGTTAAAGTAACGCAGTGCCGTATCGCAAAATATTATCTGGTCAGGAAGGGGGGTAAATTCTCTGGAGGGCAAGTGGTTGGAACTATACTCACCTTCAGTCCAGCGTTGCGATGTCCCGGAGCTCCCCGCCAACTGACTTCGGGTGTCAGTTGGCGGCCGCTCTCATTGGTTGGGGCTGAGGTGACGTCACTCTTGAGCATGCGCAGGACTTCAGTCAGTTCGGCATTGTGCAGCTCACTGTGTGTGCAGCTGACTGTACAAGGGGGAACAGGCAGGTGAGCAACTTTAGTGCAGAAGAGAGAAAGTTTGCCTCTTCTGTAATAAAAATCCTGCCTGTTCATTTTTAAAAATTTGTTTATAAATCTCCACTTTAAGCTCCAGTTTACACCAAATGCGACATTGAAATCACGCTACTTCACTTCACACTCCAAAGACATGCTGGTAGGTTAATTGGCTCCTGTCTAAATTGTCCCTAGTATGTGTATGTATGAATGTGAGTTAGGGACCTTAGATTGTACACCCCTTGAGGGTTAGGGACTGATGTGAATGTACAATGTATATGTAAAGTGCTGCGTAAATTGACGGCGCTATATAAGTACCTGAAATAAATAAATGTAAATACAAGTCGCACCTGAAATCAACAAAAAGAATGCAGGAGTCGGAGTCGCTTTGATTTAAATGGTTCCATTGCCGACAATAGGGTGTGACTTGTCATGCGACTTGGAACTGTCAAATCGCATGGCAAGTCACACCGGTGTGAATCTGGGCTAAAGCAGAACTACACTGCATCTGAGCACCACAAGACAAAAACACTAATAATTCATCTTAATGTACAAAGCAAACTCCCCTCTCCATCCATGTCTCCAGACTTTATTGTGCTATGAAATCACTTTGAAAAACATCCCCCCCAGCATTTCTGGCCATCTTGAGTAAGGGCAGATGATTTGTGCAGTATTTACTTCCTGGAATCCATCGGCCCTTAGCTCAGGCATGCAAGCTGGAAGGCGCACTTAGCCAAGAAAGCCCCTCCTCCCCTCCTGAAGACTCCAGGGATGTATGACATCATTTGCCTAGGCTGGAAACCAGGAAATAACTGAAGAAATGGAAAAAAGTTTAAAACAAGTGAATATGATATACTTGTCTATCGATTTACCAATGCTGGCAGCATAAGGATGACAAATAGTCAATGCTGATTGAGAGAGTGAAGTTCCACTTTTAGTTCCGTAACAGATGATTCCTTTAAGTCTGGTTTGCATGTTGCTGATTGGAAGTGTGTTTCTCGAAGGTTATGTTGGCTTTGCAGTTCCCCCCTGACCCCCTATGATGGAGTGCATTAATATGTGACACTTGTAATGGGACCTACATCCCTAATCTCATGCTTTCTTGTCTCCGTTCAGACCCGTCACTATGGATACGGCACTGGCAGAAGACAAGGATCGCCCCCCTGTGCCGGTACACATCACGATCCTTCGAGCACATAATCTGGTAACACTTTTCATAAATAGTACCTAGAGGGAGGGAGGGGCTACCGACTGGGTTAACCCTTCACTGACTCTGTCCCACCGCAGGACTGTAAATTGAAACGTTACCTCTATGAGATAGATAGATAGATAGATAGATAGATAGATAGATAGATAGATAGATAGATACAGTCAGGTCCATAAATATTGGGACATCGACACAATTCTAACATTTTTGGCTCTATACACCACCACAATGGATTTGAAATGAAACAAACAAGATGTGCTTTAACTGCAGACTGTCAGCTTTAATTTGAGGGTATTTACATCCAAATCAGGTGAACGGTGTAGGAATTACAACAGTTTGCATATGTGCCTCCCGCTTGTTAAGGGACCAAAAGTAATGGGACAATTGGTTTCTCAGCTTTTCCATGGCCAGGTGTGTGTTAGTCCCTCATTTTCCCAATTACAATGAGCAGATAAAAGGTCCAGAGTTCATTTCAAGTGTGCTATTTGCATTTGGAATCTGTTGCTGTCAATTCTCAAGATGAGATCCAAAGAGCTGTCACTATCAGTGAAGCAAGCCATCATTAGACTGAAAAAAACAAAACAAACCCATCAGAGAGATAGCAAAAACATTAGGCGTGGCCAAAACAACTGTTTGGAACATTCTTAAAAAGAAGGAACGCACCGGTGAGCTCAGCAACACCAAAAGACCCGGAAGACCATGGAAAACAACTGTGGTGGATGACCAAAGAATTCTTTCCCTGGTGAAGAAAACACCCTTCACAACAGTTGGCCAGATCAAGAACACTCTCCAGGAGGTAGGTGTATGTGTGTCAAAGTCAACAATCAAGAGAAGACTTCACCAGATGAATACAGAGGGTTCACCACAAGATGTAAAGCATTGGTGAGCCTCACAAACAGGAAGGCCAGATTAGAGTTTGCCAAAGGACATCTAAAAAAGCCTTCACAGTTCTGGAACAACATCCTATGGACAGATGAGACCGAGATCAACTTGTACCAGAGTGATGGGAAGAGAAGAGTATGGAGAAGGAAAGGAACTGCTCATGATCCTAAGATACCACCTCATCAGTGAAGCATGGTGGTGGTAGTGTCATGGCGTGGGCATGTATGGCTGCCAATGGAACTGCTTCTCTTTATTGATGATGTGACTGCTGACAAAAGCAGCCGGATGAATTCTGAAGTGTTTCGGGAATATTATCTGCTCATATTCAGCCAAATGCTTCACAACTCATTGGACGCTTCACAGTGCAGATGGACAATGACCCAAAGCAGACTGCAAAAGCAACCAAAGAGTTTTTTAAGGGAAAGAAGTGGAATGTTATGCAATGGCCAAGTCAATCACCTGACCTGAATCCGATTGAGCATGCATTTCACTTGCTGAAGACAAAACTGAAGGGAAAATGCCCCAAGAACAAGCAGAAACTGAAGACCGTTGCAGTAGAGGCCTGGCAGAGCATCACCAGGGATGAAACCCAGCGTCTGGTGATGTCTATGGCGTTCCAGACTTCAGGCTGTAATTGACTGCAAAGGATTTGCAACCAAGTATTAAAAAGTGAAAGTTTGATTCATGAATATTATTCTGTCCCATTATTTTTGGTCCCTTAACAAGTGGGAGGCACATATGCAAACTGTTGTAATTCCTACACCGTTCACCTGGTTTGGATGTAAATACCCTCAAATTAAAGCTGACAGTCTGCACTTAAAGCACATCTTGTTCGTTTCATTTCAAATGCATTGTGGTGGTGTATAGAGCCAAAAATGTTAGAATTGTGTTGATGTCCCAATATTTATGGACCTGACTGTAGATAGATAGATAGATAGATAGATAGATAGATAGATAGATAGATAGATAGATAGATAGATAATAGATAGATAGATAGATAGATAGATAGATAGATAGATAGATAGATAGACAGACCGACCAAAAGCATTGGGTCAGCATTCCAAGTCATTGGATTCAGGTGTTCCAATCCCCTCCATGGCCACAGGAGTATAAAATCATCAAGCCCCCAGGCATGTAGACTGCTTCTACAAACATTGGTGAAAGAATGGGTCGCTCTCAGGAGCTCAGTGACTCCAAGCGTGGTCCCGTGATAGGTGGCCACCTGGGCAATAAGTCCATCCGTGACATTTCCTGGCTACTAAATATTCCACGCTCAACTGTTAGTGGGATTCTAACAAAGTGGAAACAACTGGGAACAGCAACTCAGCCACCACGTGGTAGGCCACGTAACATGACAGGGCGGGGTCAGCGCATGCTGAAGCGCACAGTGCGCAGAAGTCGCCAACTGTCTGCAGAGTCAATAGCTAAAGACCTCCAAACTTGGTGTGGCCTTCAGATGAGCCCAACAACAGTGTGTAGAGAGCTTCATGGAATGGGTTTCCATGGCCGAGCAGCTGCATCCAAGCCTTACATCACCAAGTGCAATGCAAAGCGTCGGATGCTGTGGTGTAAAGCACGCTGCAACTGGACTCTAGAGAAGTTGAGACGTGTTCTCTGGAGTGACCAGTCACACTCCTCTGTCTGGCAATACAATGAACGTGTCTGGGTTTGGCGGATGCCAGGAGAACAGTACTTGCCTGACTGCATTGTGCCAAGTGTAAAGTTTGGTGGAGGGGGGATTATGGTGTGGTAGTGTTTTTCAGGGGTTGGGCTTGGCCCCCTAGTTCCAGTGAAGGGAGCTCTTAAGGCATCGGCATACCAAGACATTTTGGACAATTTCATGCTCCCAATACTTTTGGCAATATAGTGTATATTAACAGTGGAGGGGGTGCAATACTGCAACCTTACCCTGGGCGTTGGACGACCCTGTCCCGGTACTGTCCTCTTGATATCCAGTATGGGTACTTACATCGAGCCAAGCTGGCCCATTGTGAATATGCAGAAAAGTTCATTCCTGCAATTTCGCTTTACTGAACACAGACTTGCAGACACTGACTCCAATAATATACATCCAAGAGGCGCTGGCACTTGTCTGCTCATTCAGAGACCCTACTGGCTATGCCTAGATAGCTTCCTTAAAAACAAGGCTACAGGTCCTACGCCGACTGTTGGCTATTATTGTAAACATCAATTGTATTTTACCTTCTGCTTATGCGCTGAATATGCTTTTTACAGAAAGGGGTTAAAAGTGACTCTCCGGTGACTTTCCTGAGGTCAGAGTTCAACAACGTCCTTCTGGGTGACTCTCCGAAACTGGAAGCGACCCCGGACCAAAAGACTGAGTACAATTTCACCACAAACTTTGACCTTGGCGGTGAGAGTCCACATAGTCTGGACAACGTGGCCCACAAACCTTTTATAGGTAAGTTACTCGGCTTATTCTACCTAAAATAAGTCAGAGTTCAAAAGATTTTAACAACTGTACAGAGTTAAAGTGGAACTCTAGGCAAAACATTTTTGTTTACCATTTTAGATAGAGTAATGAAGGGTCGCACCCCTACCAGCTAATTTTTTGCCATCTGTGTCCCATTAGGGATATTTACCTTCACTTCCTGTCCCATAGCCAAAAAAGGAAGTGAGGGGAAATCCCTGCAAATTAGGGGAATCCTTTGGGTACCCCCAGGTCACCACAACTAGTGTCCACATTAGAATATTTCCCCTCTTATTTTAGATTTAAATTACTTTTCTGGAGACAACCCAAATTTTGGGATTTTCTTTTACTTTCAATGATTTTGGTAAACAGCACAAATAGAGAGGGTGAATCTTCCTAACGGGGGCACGATGAGCAATAAAAATTGTCAGGTGTTCTAATCTCTCTGCACTCTATCCAAAACGAAAAAAAAAATGTTTTACCTTTAGTTCACAGGTGAGTTGAACCAGCTCCCGAGTGCGCTGTAGCCAAAAGACGGCTACAGTGCGGTCAGCTAGTTCTGGGAGGGTGTCCATGGATGTCCACCCAGAACCACACCCCCTCGCCATGCGTGACCTGTGATTGCTGCATCCTTCAGACATAGCTGATCACGTGTCCAAGGAAAGGGCCAATCAGATCCGCCTTTTACCATGTGACCAGCTGTATCCAATCACAAGTGATCACAGTGTAAATAAGAAATGCTGGTTATCGTCAGTCACACTGACAGCCCGTGAGGAGAGGAGTGCCTTTAAGCAGCATTGCTCGGGGGGGGGACATCTACACTGATGATCAATGTAGCCCCATCAATGCTCATCAGTGCAGCCAATAGTGCCCATCAGTGCCGGCTATCAGTGCCCATCTATGCTGGCCTTCAGTGCCTCCTCAGTGATGCCTGTCAGTGCCCATCAGTGCCACCTATCTGTGCTCATCAGCGCCGGGATGTCTATTCTATTGGAAAGCTTTCCTTTTATTTGCTGTTGCGTCTCCAGGACAAGAAGTAAAGAGAAATGTAACTAGGTGGACACTGGCAGCAATAAATAATATGGCAAGGCTTTCCTATTCTATTGAAGAAAAAAAAAGGCCAGTGATCAGGATGAGCACAGACAAGTTGAGAAAAAAAACAATCCACAGGAGTTGATCTGGCACTCACTGATTGTCCAGCAGTCTACTTAAACTCTTTCTTGATTAGGACAGGGGTGCATAGCAAATACCTAAAATGCAATGCTGACAACTGGCAGGTGGTGACAGCTCACGTTTGATTGTTACATAATTCTTTCTGATTGTTAATACTCACTTCCTCCGCTTGCAGTCACTGTCATTGAGATCCTGCCCAAGGAGAAGAAGCAGAAAGAGGAGAAGACAGCTGTTCTGGGACAGGTGGCTGTGGATCTGCTTCCTCTGCTACAAGGTGGGGAATGTGTATATTTCTCCATTTAAATTGTCTACTACTTACTTTTTTATGACTTACAAACTTCACCTAGCCACAGGAAGGTAAAAACTTAAAATGTTACTAAACCCCAGACCCTGCATTCACTATATCTGCTCTCCCCGGAGCCCGCATTCACTATATCTGCTCTCCCCAGACCCTGAATTCACTATATCTGGTCTCCCCGGACCCCGCATTCACTATATCTGCTCTCCCCAGACCCTGAATTCACTATATCTGGTCTCCCAGGACCCCGCATTCACTATATCTGCTCTCCCTTGACCCTGCATTCACTATATCCGGTCTCCCTGGACCCTGCATTCACTATATCCGGTCTCCCCGAACCCTGCATTCACTATATCTGGTCTCCCCAGACCCTGCATTCACTATATCCGCTCTCCCAGGACTCTGCATTCACTATATCCGCTCTCCCCGGACCCTGCATTCACTATATCTGGTCTCCCCGGACCCTGCATTCACTATATCTGGTCTCCCTGGACCCTGCATTCACTATATCTGGTCTCCCAGGACCCCGCATTCACTATATCTGATCTCCCCGAACCCTGCATTCACTATATCCGGTCTCCCACTGTACACAAAACATGGAAATGCAATTATTTTAGTAAATATAAACTGTTAAATACCTTTTCTCATCAGATATATAGCAGTCTTGTGACTTCTATCAGTGTCCAGCAGAGCACTGGTTAAAGCTTGTAGGAGTTTTAATTCTGCTCTGACTGTCCTATGAGGCTGCATAACCCCTGACCCTCTGTCTGGACAGCACTGATTGGCCCTGTGCTGATCACATGCACCCTCCCAAAGGAAAAAAAAAAAAACCTCTCTAGCCATTTACACTAAACTGAGCATGTGCAGAATGACTCCTAGAGCTCTGTACTATCAGATGGATTGGGGACAGTAGAAGGGGAGGATCAGAGAAGACAGCATCAGACAGCCTTTTTACACAATGCAGAGGATTAACCCCTTAGGTTCCACAGTGAGTATAACAAGCATTAACCCTGTTCCTTCACGTCTGCAAAGTTATTTGATGGCAATACTAATTGGACAACTTTAGGGTGCAGTGCTACTGATCCATGGCATGTGACAGTGTTCAGGCCTGCTGATTGGCCAATCACACCTGAGAACTGGCAAAAAAGAGGAGGTCCCATACCTGGAGTCCCTATTTCTACTATTGACTGCATGGGAGCATGGCTGGGTAGGTTTACATGACTGGAGAGAGTGAGCAGACATGGCAATTTGTGGCAAGTGGCCATACACACGTATTACAATCAAACTGCTCAGTCTAATCCAGTGGTCTCCAAACTGTGGCTCGGGGGCCGGATGTGGCCCTTTGCTTGCCTTTATCCGGCCCTTGGGGCTCTATTCCTCCCACTGACACCAATGATGAGGCGCTATTGCTTCCACTGACACCAACAATGGGGCAGGATTCCTTCCACTGATACCAGGGGTAGGCAACCTGCAGCTTTCTAGTTGTTGTGGTACTACATTTCCCATGAGGCATTGCAACATTACAAAACTGACAGTTACAGCTATGACTTCCAGAGGCATGATGGAACTTGTAGTCCTGCGGCTCTCAGGTTGCCTACCCCTGACTGATACCAATGATGGGGCACTATTTCTCCCACTGACACCAATGATTGGACACTATTCCTTCTAATAACAATGATGGAGCACTATTCCTCCCACTGACACCAACAATGGGGAAGGATTCCTTCCACTGATACCAGCGATGGGGTACTATTTCTCCCACTGACACCAGTGATGGGCAATCTTCCTCCCACTGATACTAATAATGGGGCACTATTCCTGCCCCTATCACCACTGATGGGGCACTATTTCTCCCTCTGACACACCAGTGATGGGGCACTATTCCTCCCACTGATACCAATGATGGGGCATTATTTCTCCCACTGACACCAACAATGGGGCAGGATTTCGTCCACTGATACCAGCAATAGGGCACTATTTCTCCCACTGACACCAATGATGGGCAATATTCCTCCCGCTGATACCAGCGATGGGCCACTATTTCTCCCTCTGACACCAGTGATGGGGCACTATTCCTCCCACTGACACCAACAATGGGGCAGGATTCCTTCCACTGATACCAGGGGTAGGCAACCTGCGGCTCACTAGCTGTTGTGGTACTACATTTCCCATGACGCATTGCAGCATTACAAAACTGACAGAGCTATGACTTTCAGAGGCATGATGGAACTTGTAGTCCTGTGGCTCTCAGGTTGCCTACCCTTGACTGATACCAATGATGGGGCACTATTCCTCCCACTGACACCAATGATGGGGCACTATTCCTCCCACTGACACCAATGATGGTGCACTATTCCTCCCACTGATACCAATGATGGGGCACTATTCCTCCCACTGATACCAATGATGGGGCACTATTCCTCCCACTGATACCAATGATGGGGCACTATTCCTCCCACTGATACCAATGATGGGACACTATTCCTCCCACTGATACCAATGATGGGGCACTATTCGTCCCACTATACCAATCACTATTCCTCCCACTGATACCAATGATGGGGCACTATTCCTCCCATGATACCAATGATGGGGCACTATTCCTCCCACTGATACCAATGATGAGGCACTATTCCTCCCACTGATACCAATGATGGGGCACTATTCCTCCCACTGATACCAATGATGGGGCACTATTCCTCCCACTGATACCAATGATGGGACACTTTTCCTCTCCCACTGATACCAATGATGGGGCACTATTCCCCCCACTGATACCAATGATGGGGCACTATTCCTCCCCACTGATACCAATGATGGGGCACTATTCCTCCCACTGATACCAATGATGGGGCACTATTCCTCCCACTGATACCAATGATGGGGCACTATTCCTCCCACTGATACCACTATTCCTCCCACTGATACCAATGATGGGGCACTATTCCTCCCACTGATACCAATGATGGGGCACTATTTCCTCCCACTGATACCAATGATGGGGCACTATTCCTCCCACTGATACCAATGATGGGGCACTATTCCTCCCACTGATACCAATGATGGGCACTATTCCTCCCACTGATACCAATGATGGGGCACTATTCCTCCCACTGATACCAATGATGGGGCACTATTCCTCCCACTGATACCAATAATGAGGCACTATTCCTCCCACTGATACCAATGATGGGGCACTATTTCCTCCCACTGATACCAATGATGGGGCACTATTCCTCCCACTAATACCAATAATGAGGCACTATTCCTCCCACTGATACCAATGATGGGACACTATTCCTCCCACTAATACCAATAATGAGGCACTATTCCTCCCACTGATACCAATGATGGGACACTATTCCTCCCACTGATACCAATGATGGAGCACTATTCCTCCCACTAATACCAATGATGGGGCACTATTCCTCCCACTAATACCAATGATGGGGCACTATTCCTCCCACTGATACCAACGATGGGGCACTATTCCTCCCACTGATACCAATGATGGGGCACTATTCCTCCCACTGATACCAATGATGGGGCACTATTCCTCCCACTGATACCAATGATGGGGCACTATTCCTCCCACTGATACCAATGATGGGACACTATTCCTCCCACTGATACCAATGATGGGGCACTATTCCTCCCACTGACACCAATGATGGGACACTATTCCTCCCACTGATACCAATGATGGAGCACTATTCCTCCCACTGATACCAATGATTGGGCTCTATTCCTCCCATTGATACCAATGATGGGACACTATTCCTCCCACTGATACCAATGATGGGACACTATTCCTCCCACTGATACCAATGATAGGGCACTATTCCTCCCACTGATACCAATGATGGGGCTCTATTCCTCCCACTGATACCAATGATGGGGTACTATTCCTCCCACTGATACCAATGATGGGGCACTATTCCCCCCACTGATACCAATGATGGGTCACTATTCCTCCCACTGATACCAATGATGGGGCGCTGTTCCTCCCACTGACACCAAAGATAAGGCATTGTTTACTCTCACTGGACTTCAGGGACTTTTCTACTCCCCCTGGCCCTAGTCCGCCCCCCCCCCCCCCCCCCCCCTAAAGTTTGAAGGACAGTGATATTTTACCAAAAGCTTCCTAAACTGTTCATTTATTTATTAATGTAACTTCATTTATCTCCAGTCACACCACATCGTTGTTGCGAGATCGTCAGGAGATTGTAGAGTAGAAACTGTAACATGAGTGAGGAGCTTTACGGAGAAAGAGAGAAAAGAGATATCAATGAAGGGAGAAAAACGAAAAAAAAGTTCTTGTCTTTTTCTACTATAAATCTTGACTGCATAAACCTGTTTTTTAGGTGAATGTAATTTTAACGTGACGGTGCCACTGTATCCAGCAACTGGCTCTCCTCTGGAAAACGTTCACCCTGATGCCAAGGTATTTATACCACATTGAATGTCCAACTGGTTTACTTTGTGTTTATTGAATTCATTTTAACCACTTCAGCCCCCAGCCTATTCTTCTGATACTTTGATACCTCTCTCCTACATGTGAAAATCAGCATTTTATGCTAGAAAATTACTTAGAAACCCCAAAAACATATTTTTTTAAGCAGAGGCCTTAGGGAATAAAATGTTGCATTGCACATACTCAGTGTAGTGTGTATGGCTAGAAAGGTTTTTTTTTTTTTTGGGAGGTGCATGTGATCGGCACAGGGCCAATCAGCGCTGTCAACACATAGAGTCGGAGGTTATGCAGCCTCATAGGACAGTCAGAGCAGAATGAAAACTCCTCCTGCAAGCTTTAACCACTGCTCGGCTGGACACTGATAGAAGTCATAAAATTGCTATACATTGTTGATGAGAAAAGGTATTTAGCAGTTTATATTTACTAATATAATTGTATTTCCATGTTCTGTGTATGGTGGGAGACCAGATATAGTGAATGCAGGGACTGGGGAGACCAGATATAGTGAATGCAGGGTACGGGGAGACCAGATATAGCGAATGCAGGGTCTGGGGAGACCAGATATAATGAATGTGAGGTCCGGGGAGAACGGATATAGCGAATGCAGGGTCTGGGGAGACCAGATATAATGAATGCGGGGTCCGGGGAGAGCGGATATAGTGAATGCAGGGTCCAGGGAGACCAGATATAGTGAATGCAGGGTCCAGAGAGAGCAGATATAGTGAATGCAGGGTCCTGGAAGACCAGATATAGTGAATGCAGGGTCCAGGGAGAGCGGATATAGTGAATGCAGGGTCCAGGGAGAGCGGATATAGTGAATGCAGGGTCCAGGGAGAGCGGATATAGTGAATGCAGGGTCCAGGGAGAGCGGATATAGTGAATGCAGGGTCCTGGAAGACCAGATATAGTGAATGCGGGGTCCGGAGTTTAGTAACACTTTAAGCTAGTAGAGATCCTGCTATTGCCCGTCTACAAGTCAGTGGTTGTACATCCATGATCTAGAGTTCGTATCTTGTTATACTAGAAAACCTGCTGTGACAAAATATGAAGGCTGATATTGCTGACCCTTATTTTTGAAAATGAGAGCTGCTTGGCTGTCATTTTGATCCTTTGAATTTCTTACTTTTTGTGACCTAAAAAAGTAGAGACTTTTATGCTTTTATTCACTGCATTCTTGTTCTGCGGCGGCAGTGATTATGAAGTACTAAAGCAGCGTTAGGGCAACAAGAAGTCTCAGAAAAGTGTTTTCTGTATTAACCAAATCTGGCAGTGGCAATTGCTGCCCCTGGGCCCTTTCTCAGAGATTAATATTGGAAATTTGATCCGAATGACCTTGAAAGCGGCAACTCAAATTAGAGCTTTATGATTTCACCCAGGGTAATAGGGGAACTGAGTATAGTTCTTCTTTTTTCATACACATATAAAGGGGTGTATTTCTCACAAGGCAAACAAGGCATTTGCCTAGGGCGGCATCTTTCAGGGGGGCAGCAGAATTTTTCAGGGGGGCAGCATAAAGAAGGGATAGAAGGAGGGACACAAGCAGCATGGGGACTAGGTGGAATCTGATAGCGTCAGCGGGCTGCTTGATGGTGTATGCAGAACCTGACTCTTGTTCCCGGGGATGTCCAGAGATGTGAAAGTGAGTGTCTTCTCTCTCACCGGGGTGGGGTTGCCAATGTATGGGGGCCCAGTGGTAGTGGAAGGCTCTCTTGGGTGGGGGTTGGGGTGTTGTTGGTCAATGTCAGGCACTCTTCGTGGGGGAGGGGGGGTGTTGGTCGGTGTCAGGGTCTCTCCATGCAGAGGGCTAAATTTTATGTTGCCTAGGGCAGCACAAAACCTAAATACACCACTGCACATACAGTGTCATATCTGGAGGTGGCTGTCACTGTCCTGGACTTGTACTCAATGATTCACAGATTAATAATGGAAATCTGATCCAAGTGATCTTGGAAGTTACTAGAAACTCAAATGAGAGCTTTGCACTTCCACCCAGGGTAATGGGGAAGCCGAGTTTAGTTCTGATTTTTCATATCCTGCAGTGTGCTCTGTTGTAGCCAAGGCTGGAAGTGGTGCTTTCTGTCCCGGAGCCTTTACGTACCAAATCACAGATTAATAATGGTGGCCTGAACCGAGTGCCCTGGCAAGCTGGTAGAAACTCAAATGAGTTTTATTTGCTTTTACCCAGGGTAGTAGTGGAGCTGGGTTCTATCCTCCTTTCTCATATGCACACACTGTTTTGTGTTAAAGCCGAGTCTGGAAGTGGCGGTTTCTGTCCCGGAGCCTTTACTCACCGAGGCACAAATTAATAATGGGAATCTGATCCGAGTGACCATGGAAGCTGCCTATTGTGTCCCCGAGTCCTGGAACCCACAAGGGCCACAGTACAACTATGTCACCAGCCTTCAGCTACCATCCATGGGAGAGGTGAGAAATAAACCATCCAAGGTAATCCAAAGAAAGATACTTTTTATAAATACCAAATGTGGGGAATGAAATAAAGATAATTGCTAAAATATGAATATTTCCACAGTTGTTTAAGGAGGGCCAGTGAAAAATTGTATTGACCCTAAATGAGCTATTAATGCACAAAATGACCTATCTTGCAGTCACTGAAGGTTGAGGCCATTCCATGCATGTGCCAACAACGCATGAATGACTTATTCCGACCAGCATGTAAACAATGTGTAATCAGCGCCCGTCGAGTACACATTATTCTTTACAGCGGACCTTAACAGCAGCGCAAAGTCCAATACACTGTACCCATGTAAAAATGTAAATGTTTACATCCATAGAGTGTAAAATTACGACCAAACTAAACTGGATGTAGATTTTTCTAGTATTTGTTTACGCAGCTAAAAACGTTGGACCAATACAACCTAATGGGCACATAGAATACAATAATGAAGCATTCAGATTTATAAAATGTATGAATCTGAAGTCAACAAACATCCGTCTGATTTCCACAAGATTTCTGGCACGATGAACAGATTTCTTTCTTGTGCATTTATCAAATAGATATGACCCTAGGTTCACATCTGTGTGGGTGGTGCCGCTGTGGATCTGCACGAAAATCCGTGCAGCCGCACCACCCGCACAGAGAGATGCGGACCCGCGGGCGGGTGACATTAGTTCTAATGGCATGCCGCCCGCACTGGGAACCGAGGTTCCCGTGTGGGCTGCGTTTTCCAAAAGAAGTGCAGGGACTTCTTCCCTGCGGGGCACGGGAACGGGAGTCCATTCAAATAAATGGGTTCTCGTGCCCATGCAAAATGCGGCCCGCATGGGCATGAGAGCTGATGTGAACTGGGAGTAACAGAGGGCTTTTATTGGAATGCTAAATACCAACGAAGTTCATTCTTAGTGTTTACATACACTTTAAGCAGGTCTGAGACAAGGGGTGGGCAGGAGGGGAAGCTGCCCTGGGCACACCAGAGCAAAGAGACAAAGAATGGACACAGTGCATTAAACCCATTCTATGGCATGCAATAACAGCGGAGGAGGGGGGGTGCAGCTCTGAATCCTTGCCCTGTGCTCTAGATGAACCTGTTCCTGCACTGACTTTAAGCTTGGGTTTTATTACATACAGAACCTATTTCTGTGGCAGGGCTAGTTTGGAAAAAATGGACTCACTTAATGAGCATGTTTGCTTTTTATCTAGGAAAAATAAAAGATGAAACCTAGTTGTTCCATTTTTCTTGATCCTTCTTGTTTTTCTCCTGCCACAGAAGGATCTCACTTTGATCTTCTCAAATGGAATCCTGAAGGCGGGCGGGGAGAGCGAACCTGTGTCCAGGAAGAAGAGATGGCCAATGAGCGGTATCATGGCGCCAGGAGCTCAGCATATCCCAGAATCATTCATTTTAGGGGGATCCTATGAAGAGGAAGATGGAGAAATGAATCGCAAAGAGGTTACATAGTTACATAGTTGGGTTAAAAAAAAACATACTATACCTAGATTGTAAGCTCGAAAGAGCAGGGCCCTCGAACCCCTCGTGTATTGTATTGTTACTGTCTTGTCTCATGTTCTGTCCCCCTTGCTACTGTACAGCGCTGAGCAAACCCTTTGGCGCTATATAAATACTGTATAATAATAATAATATTTATCATGTACAACAAAGGCTTAAAGTGTTACTAAACCCACAACAGTACAATCAGTCTGTAGATGTAGTAAAGCATGCTTGTTATACTCACTGTGGAACCTAAGGGGTTAATCCTCTGCATTGTGTAAAAAGGCTATTTGATCCTGTCTTCTCTGTTCCTCCCCTTTTTCAGGTGAACACCTCTTATCTCATGCACACGGTACGTTTTAAAGCGGCTGTTTTTTTTGGCTTTTGACATTTTTTTCTATAGCCAGTAAACCCCCCAACATGTTATCCTATGTGTCCATGCACACACAGACTGGAATCAATGTTTTTTTGGATGGGAAGTTTTTTGGCTGGAAAAAAAACCCAGGACTAGTGGGTTTCTAGAGGAGTTTCTAGCTGACAAATGTGGTAAAACAAATAAATGGATATGCTATTATTTGCTATTTTGAGGTGTTGAGGATTTACCTTTATATATGCTAGCTGCGCTTTTTAGGGATTATTACATTGCACTCACATTACCTCTTTATACAAAATGTGTTAAAACGCCGCAAACCAGCATTTTTGGACTTTTTTTTACCCCCAATTTTTTTGGGGGGTAAAAGCAAACGTGGAAAAACACCGGTAAACGCTAATGCAAAAAATGCTAAAAAAAGCTGAAAAACTCACATTTTTAACCATTTGCCTTCCGCCATATGGCCAAATGGCGGCCGCCAAATGTCATCAGCATTCCGAGTGGACGCCATATGGCGTCTTCCCGCACATGCGCAGATTTCGCTCCTGCAGAGCCGCGCAGAGGCACGATCTGTCACCAGCTGTGTACGTCGGACACGGCCGATGACAGATCTGAGTACTGACCCCCGTTGCCGGTACCATGTGACCTGCTGTGACCAATCACAGCAGGTCACATGACAGTTGTATACAATGGATGGCTTCATTCCCTATAACTCTATAACTTTCCTACAAACTAAAAAATACATCCTAATTTGGGTTATTTTCACCAAAGACATGTAGTAGAATACATCTCGGCCCAAATTTATGAATAACAATTATTTATTTGCAAACTTTTATAACAGAAACAAAGAAAAACTTTTTTTTTTTTTCAAACTTTTTGGTCTTTTTTTGTTAATTTAGCAAAAAATAAAAAACCCCAGCGGTGATTAAATACCACCAAAAGAAAGCTCTAGTTGAGTGAAGAAAATGATAAAATTTTAGTTTGGGTACAATGTTGTATGACTGCGCAATTGTCATTCAAAGTGTGAGAGCGCTGAAACCTGAAAACTGGCCTGGGCAGGAAGGTGTAAAAGTGCCCGGTATGGAAGTGGTTAACATGACTTTACATAGCTAACGTTACCAGCGCTATCAAACGTCCCATGTGCATGAGGGTTAAAGGGATGAGGTGGCAACCCTACAATATATAAGTACCTGTAATTAATAGGTAAACGCATTTCCTAGCATTTCCTGACTCTGCATGTCCCATGATTCCTCGGCACTGTAATCATGGCCACCGGCTGAGTTGTGGGTGGAATGGGAAGAGTTAGGCAGTGCAAGGATATGCGGACTTGATCCCAATTCATTTTAATAATCTCACCCAATACTCTTCACACTGATGTGTTTCTATCAGTGCGATCTCGCTGAGAACTACACAGTGGCGGCGAGGCCAGGGAGCCTATATAGAGGGGGGGGATAAGTGACGGCCCCTAGGATAGGAGATTAAGATAAGAGAGTGTGTAAACCGAGACTTTGGTAGAAGATATCACAATCTTTAGGCAAAGAGGTCAAATATTAACTCATTCCCAAGACACCCAAAGAATTTACATTTTGCCAAGATATGAGCTTTAATTTTGGCCCTTGCAGCTGCGCAGACTTCTCTTCCCTCCATTCACCGACACCAAACTTGTGATAGTGCTGGGTGCCAAGACAGCCAATCGCTAAGCATGTAGGAGGCAGAGGGGAAAGTTACACGTTCCCCCATGTTTAGACATATTAGTATGTTATTTTGTTTTTCCAGAAGAATAGAGCAGCAGAAAGTGAAGGGTGGTAAATATAAGCAGCTGTGAGGCAAAGCAAACTAGATGCTTTACCCTGCATGGACAAAGTGTAGGTTCCCTTTATACAGCTTTAAAATACAGTTCCTTGAAAAAGTCGTCATACCCCTTAAAATTTTCCACATTTTGTCATGTTTCAACCAAAAACGTAAATGTATTTTATCGGGATTGGATGTGATAGACCAACACAAAGTGGCACATAATTGTGATGTGGAAGGAAAATGAGAAATGGTTTTCAACATTTTTTATAAATAAATCTGTGAAAAGTGTGGTGTAAAATTTGTATTCAGCCCCCCCGGAGTCAATACTTTGTTGGACCCCCTTTGGCTGCAATTCCAGCTGCAAGTCTTTTTGGGAATGTGTCTACCAGATTTGCACATCTAGAGAGGGACATTTCTGCCCATTTTTCTTTGCAGAATCCCTCAAGCCCTGCCAGATTGGATGGAGGGCGTCTGTGAACATAATTTTTCAGGTATGGCCACAAATTCTCCATTTGATTTAGGTCTGGACTGTGACTGAGTCATTCTAACACATGAAGATGCTTTGATCGGAACCATTCCATTGTAGCTCTGGCTGGATGTTTCGGGTCGTTGTCCTGCTGGAACCTCCGCCCCGGTCTCAAGTCTTTTGCAGACTCTAACAGGTTTTCTTCTAAGATTTCCCTGTATTCGTCTCCATCCATCTTCCCATCAACTCTGACCAGCTGTTCTGTCGCTGCTGAAGAAACGCATCCCCATAACATGACGCTGCCACCACCATGTTTCACAGTGGGGATGGTGTGTACAGGGTGATGTGCAGTGTTACTTTTCCTCCACACATAGCATTTTGCTTTTAGGCCAAAAAGTTGAATTTTGGTGTCATCTGACCAGAGCCCCTTCTTCCACATGTTTGGTGTCCCCCACATGCCTTCTCGCAAACTGCAAACAGAACGTCTTATGGCTTTCTTCCAACAATGGCTTTCTTCTTGCCACTCTTCCATAAAGGCCAGATTTGTGGAGTGCACGACTAATAGTTGTCCTGTGGACAGATTCTCCCACCTGAGCTGTGGATCTCTGCAGCTCCTCCAGAGTTCCCATGGGCCTCTTGGCTGCTTCTCTGATGAATGCTCTCCTTGCCCGGCCTGTCAGTTTAGGTGGACAGCTATGTATTGGTAGGTAGGCAGTTGTGCCGTACTCTTTCCATTTTCGGATGATGGATTGAACAGTGAGATGTTTAAAGCTTGGGATATTTTTTTTATAATCTAACCCTGCTTTAAACATCTCCACAACTTTATCCCTGACCTGTCTGGTGTGTTCCTTGGCCTTCATGATGCTGTTTGTTCACTAATGTTCTCTAACAAACCTCTGAGGGCTTCACAGAACAGCTGTATTTATACTGAGATTACATGACACATAGGTGGACTCTGTTTACTAATTAGGTGACCATTCTTTTCTACCCATTTCTGCGTTGAATGCTCCCTGAAACCATCTGCATGTCCTGTGCTTGTTTCAGTTCTCGAAAAACAAGCGTTACTCTTTATCAAATCACACTGCGCTGGGAGAATAGAAGGCAGAATCTGATTTGTTGATAATGACAAGAAAAGTTCAGACATGTTAACATATCAGGTCTATTATATATTTTATATAAGCTGTATAAAAATATTCCTGTGCACCATCTGCAGGACAAAGAGTTCCGCGTGGAAGCCGAAACCCAACGTAAGAGAGTGATGTGGGACACGGAGAGGAGGTGCTACCTTAACAAGTCCGCCCTGACCAGGTAATGTGTAGACTCCAGTCTTTATGATTGGGAATTATAATGGTTTTTTCTTTATTTATTCATGTTTATGCATTTTATAAACTAATATATCTCTATAATAATATAAAATCTTTGTTTTACAAATAAAAATGTAATTTAGGGCACACCCATAACACTAGATTCACTATGGTTTTTCTAGCTTACTTTTGACTTTCTTTCTCTGATTAAAACTCTGTTGGGCCCTGACTGAGCAGAGCAGACAGGAAGTAATGGGGAGGAGTCATTTCTCTGACCCATCAACTTGTGTGAAAATTTTCAGTTTGAGCTACTGAGCTCTGTAAGTAAAGGACTAAGCAAAGCCTAGAGTTTGTGGAAAAAAGGAGCCATAAACTGAATGGGAAAAGTCAGAATATTCATATGTATCATTTCAAGCTTACTTGGATTTTATTTATTACAGGTACTTTTATTTATATATATATATATATATATATATATATATATATATATATACAGTATATATATATATATATATATATATATTACATTTGCACCAGTCCCTAACTCTCAAGGAGCATACAATCTAAGGTCCCTAACCCTCAAGGGATGTACAGCCTAAGGTCCCTAACCCTCAAGGGGCGTACAATCTAAGGTCCCTAACCCTCAAGGGGCGTACAATCTAAGGTCCCTAACCCTCAAGGGGCGTACAATCTAAGGTCCCTAACCCTCAAGGGGCGTACAATCTAAGGTCCCTAACCCTCAAGGAGCATACAATCTAAGGTCCCTAACTCACATTCATACATACACATACTAGGGCCAGTTTAGACAGGAGCCAACTAACCTACCAGCATGTCTTTGGGGTGTGGGAGCAAACCGGAGTATCCGAGGGGAACCCACGCAGGCACAGGGAGGACATGCGAACTTCAGGCAGGTGGTGCCATGTTTGGGTTTTGAATCCACGACCCTAGTGCCGCCAAATGGGAGTGCTAGCCATTTAGCCACTGTGCAGCCCATTTATTTGGATTTAGAAAATATAGATATTTTTTAAATATTATGCAAGCCAAGGTGACTCCATCTCTATCCATGTCTAAGGCCTAACCACCAAAATGCGTTAACTTCTGTGTGGATTTTATGTGTGGATCTGCTTAAATAAAGGCCATCTCTTTGTGGAAGTGCGGGCATTTCTTCAAGATTCAGATGTGACTCCATCTCCTTCACATGCAGTATGACTTATATGAATGACAATGGTGTATTCACAGCTTACAGAAGCGTATAGCGGAGTGCCGTTACTGGCCGCTAGAGATAATGAGAGCACCGATTTCAACCACCAGCAAATCTAAAGCAGGCAAAGCAGAAAAGGTGAGGGTACTGAATCCAAGACTAAGTATATATTAATTTATGGCGCCATCAGTATGCAAGGTGCTACAAGTCAGTATGAGAGCCTTAGATGGAACATATAGACTCTATACTTTTTCGCAAATTTGTATCAAATTCTTTCCTGTGATCAGCAATATTAAATAAATGTAAGCTCTGAAGGACAACATAAGACCCCACTCTTCCCCTTCATATATTCCCCCAGAGAATGAAGGATTATGGGATATGCTGGAAAGAGTGAGAGACTTGTGATGGAGAGGGTTCCTGCCTTCAGTCTGACCAATGGCAATGGCAGGCTTTAATTAACATCTTCTCCTGGTACTGTGACAAGCCTACTAACCCTCTACTGAATATTTATGATTGTAATACCCTTGTTTTTATTACTTAAAGATCAGATAGACTTAAGCCCTGGCTTTGAAAATCGTGCTAGCTCAGCTGAAGTAGAGCGATTTCAAAGTCTCCAGTCAGTGCACTTTCAAGTGCAGCTTGCCAACATCTGTGTGACTTCATGCACAGATGTCAATGCAAGTCCAACATGAAATTGCCAAAAATAGTGCAGGAACCTTTTTCAAAATTGGTGTGTGTTGGCGTCGTAATGATTCCATAGGCACAAATAGGGTGCGACCTGTCATGCGATCTTAAACTGTCAAATTGCATAGCAAATCGCATTGGTGTGAATGGGGGCTTAAAGATAAATAAAGTGGTTGTAAAGCTCTAATATGAAGTATAAACAAAGCATATCCCTCTATAGGGTGTACTTGCCTCAATCCAGAGCAGACATGAAATATGAACAAAGCATATCCCTCTTTAGGACGTGAACAGAAATCTTTCCTATGGGACACAGATGGTTAAAAAAAAGGAAACGTAACAGGGGTTATAACCCTTCCCATACTCTATACAAATGAAAAACGAAAAGTTTTTCACTCAGTTCTAAGTTTATGCACTAGGCCAGGGTTTTTCAACTAGGGTTCCTCCAGAGGTTGCTAGGGGTTCCTTGAGCAATGAGCAATTTTTACCTCTCAGGTGAGTTCCCACTGACACTATGGATCTTTTTAGCAGTCTGTAAGGGGGTAATTCTTCCCAATGACCACAAGTGTAGGGAGCATTCTTACCTCTGACCATCACACTAATGTATCATGAATTGTAGATATACTCATTTTTAGCCGGGGTTCCCTCAGACCAGAAAGTTACATCAAGGGTTCCTCTGACCACAAGTGTAGGGAGCGTTCTTACATCTGACCATCACACTAATGCATCATGAATTGTAGATAAAGCCATTTTTAGCCGGGGTTCCCTCAGACCAGAAAGTCACGTCAAGGGTTCCTCTGATCACAAGTGTAAGGAGCATTCTTACCTCTGACCATCACACTAATGCATCATGAATTGTAGATATACTCATTTGTAGCAGGGGTTCCCTCAGACCAGAAAGTTACGTCAAGGGTTCCTCTGACCACAAGTGTAAGGAGCATTCTTACATCTGATCATCACACGAATGTATCATGAATTGTAGATATAGTAATTTTTAGCCGGGGTTCCCTGAGACTGGAAAGTTACGTCAAGGGTTCCTCTGAGTTGAAAAGGTTGAGAAAAGCTGCACTAGGCTGTGCTCTTTATGTGTAGGTGCTGCTGGACTGGGATTTAAGCAAAGCTATGCATCAGACTGGCACTATTAACCTTTTTTTGGTTAGTTGAGTGTAAATATAAACACTTGGACTGTATTATTACTATCATTCTCCTTCGTCTTCTTTGGACTTTCTCTTATTTATTTTACTGTAGATATCTGGGAACCCATAGATAGTTTTTTTCCCTTTTTTTTGGCATTTCTTTATTCATGCCTTTGATTCATTCTTCAGTCTTTCATTATAATTTCCAGCAAAGTGAAGAGGACACCCAAATATCATTTCATGGTGTGGTCTACGTGAACTTGGTGCCTCTGTTGTATCCAGGAGTGAAACGTCTGCGTGGAGGAGCCTACCGGATTCTGGCTTACCAAGAGGCTGAAGTGTTGGAGAAGGTAGAAATTCAACAGATGAGTCTAAAAAACATAACTGTATTCTCACCCCTGTAGTTCTGCAGGAAATACAGAATCACTAAAATCAGAGACATTGCTCTAGTTGTGTGGCTCCATCCAGAAACAAAAATTGCACCAAGGACATTGTGAGTGTAGTTGACAAATATTGGGTCTTTGGTTGATTTAAAAAATTTTAAAGTTATGGGGGCTAGGAGATGCTCTTCCTAAAAAGACCCTGTTGGTTGTCCCAATGAATGATCTGGTGATAATACGCCTGTCATGGGAGAAATATGGGCGTTAACATCGCCATTCGCCATGTTAGTTGCCTGCTCTGTCTGGTAAGAAGACCTCTCTCCTCTGCTCCAGACTGATATGATTAAGCGCATTTTGCGTGATGTTTTGTGCACTTGGTATACTGAAGATTTCAATAAATTCAGTTTATATTACTCATCTGTTGGAGTGCGGTCAGCTTGCTCACCCTTGTTTTCAAAAATATGGGAGTTGCCTTCACCATTCTGCTCGCTAGTTCTCTGCTGTGCCTGGATTCTGGTAAAGAGATCTCTCTCCTCTGCTCCAAACTGATTCCTCGTAGAAAGCTCCGTCCTTACACGTTACGTCGACTGGGGACTTAAAAGGGGGGAGCTTTGAAGAAGTCACCAGTTGATGTAACACGTAGGGTGGAGCTTCCTACGAGGCATCAGTCTGGAGCAGAGGAGAGAGGTCTTCCTACCTGCAGCCCTATCCATCCCAGCACCTCATCTGTCAGCCGGCTACAGCAGGGAGCTGCAGGAGTCTATTCCACTCTGTGTCTGCCTTCTGAATGTCTAAGTGACTATTCTGGAAAAAGCATATAATAAACAAAAAATAAGGATTTTGGCCCACTCCTCTTGGCAGATCCTCTCCAAGTCATTAAGGATTGGTGGCTGATGTTTGGCAACTCGAACTTTCAATTGGATTAAGGTCTGGAGACTGGCTAGGTCACTCCAGGACCTTAATGTGCTTCTTCTTGAGCCACTCCTTTGTTGCCTTGGCCGTGTGTTTTGGGTCATTGTCATGCTGGAACACCCATCCATGACCCATTTTCAATGCCCTGGCTGATGGAAGAAGGTTCTCAACCAATTACTTATTTCCTTCACTGTAGACTTCTTCTAATATTAGTGTTTTGCCTGGTGACAGCCGCTGGTTTCATTTCTTGTCCTGCTGTCACAACCTGTCACAGGGTCAGGAAGTGAGGTGAAATCTCCCCATCAGGTCAGGAAAATTGGAGAAAAAGATACAACGTATATTGAAAATTTAGCATAGCTCCAAATGAAATTGTTAGAACTGTGGATTGTGATGCATACATGAAACATTTGAGATGCAGAGATGTGCCGACACTGTAAGCTCTTCTTCCCTTCCTGCTGCAGACAAAGGTTCAGTCATCCGTTCTGCGGGATTTTGTGCGGAACAACAGCTTGATGGGGAAGGTCACAGGCGCTGCATTAGGCCCCAACTCTTCACACCCGAAGCCGGCACCCAGCCGCATGGAGAAAGGCCCCAAGGAGAAGGATGGCAGCAGACGGGTAAGCCTTGAGAAGCCAGAGCTATTCCTAAGC